TGGAAAAGGAGCCTATTTTCAAAAATAGTGGAGTGTTCCTTTAAGGTTTGAATAGTTCTGCTTCCAAACACTAGAAACAATAGGAAATATTCTACGTTTACTGTAACTTCTGATCACACTAAAAAAAAAAGTGATGTTCTTCATCAGTTTTTGTCTTATTTTCCAGGGAAAATGTCTAAAGATTCATGAATAAAGATGCATTTACTTGAAAAGCAATTTGACAAGTCTTGTTTAATGAGAAATTGATCAAAATGAAGTGTTTATGATTACAATGAGAACAAATATCTGCCAGTGGGGTCAGAAAAATCTTAGTTCAACTTACAGATATTTGTTTTTGTTTTATGCATAAGCTCACTTTTGTTCAGTCTCTCAGAAAACAAGAATGCATATCTTTGTTTTCTTTCACAAGTAATATATTTTGATTTAGGGATGTTTAGATATTTGTATCGGAAAGCAAACAGAAATACTGTGGAAGATATTAATTTTCACAGTGCAAGCAACATTTAATTAAATGAAGACTTTCTGCTCTGATTTAATATGTTTTAAAAAGGCCTTAATTTGTGGAAGGGTGAAATAAGACTTTGTAAGACCTTTTCAACTGTAGAAACCCTACTGACCATATAAAAAAAAAAAAAGGCTGAGCAGAAACAAAACGCTGTTTATAAAACTTTTATTCATGTTTAAATCATTTACATGGAATAATCAAATCAATCATTTATTCATAATCAAACCATTATCGATCCAAATACCCAAAAAGTGTAAATAAAAAAAGAAAATCATAAGACATTAAATGAAATGGACACTAACAGAACCGCAGTCACTAAACAGCTGGTTATGTGTGTCGCTTTACAAACATGCGATCCATAAAGTGATGTTTTCATGTTTTAACAGCCGTGTCTCTGGATCTGTAGATGACGCCTCTGCTCTTCAGCTCCCGCACCACACCTGAGACACAAAACATAAAATCAACATCCTTCACTTACAGTCATGAGAGAGCCATTCTGCCGAACAATACCAAAATCTGACACTAACCTGGAGGTAACCGACCCGTTACCGTTACTGCATAGA